AGCATACGCAGCATACGCCAGAGGAAGCCCTATCTCTCTCTGTTCTTACTTTTTTTCGTACCACCCCAAGGGGGAACTCAGGTGGGCCAACAGGAGCCGCTAAAGCAGTCAACGAACTGTCAGAACAGGGATTTATCAGTACTCAACAAAAAAAAAAAAGAAAGCAGAGAAAAGTGATGGGAAATCTCACCATTGGGAAAGCCAACTGTTTGACAGTCTGGCTTAGTTACCGCCCGACAGTCTGTCTCTTTCTGTCCCACTGATGGACGGACTGGTGACAAGCTGTTACCTAAAGAGCACTCAGATCTCAGCCCCTAACCTCCTTTCCCTACGCTCCTGACACATGGCTTGATTTATATTTTATTTAAAAAGCAACAGCAAAATTATCAGGCTTTACTTTTGGCTGCCCTTTTTCCCCTTTTTCGGTGCGGTCCTGAATGCCTTTCTGTTGGTTTGGCTTGCATAAAGTTTGTTTAACGTTTATCTTGCGGTCGCTTTGCGCTTTTTGCATGACCAACGAAAGTTTCTTTCGGCCAGCCTCCGCCTGGTGATAAAAACAGCAGAAAGGCAGGCAACCAGGAAGCTGAATTTAAACATGAATAATGAAAGGAGCTGTAAATTGGCTGAGGACCCAACTACCGAAAGGTCACAGCACCACGAAATTAATCAGCAATGTAAAATCGCAAGTTCTTAGTGAAAGTTTCGAAAGTTTTTGGTTAATTTAAATGACAGTCAAATGTAAAACGTGTCTGTTTGTTCTTAAAATTCTTTTCGGGTCTAGTACATATTTAATTATGCTCAACATTAGAGCCTAATGATTTTGCTCTAGCTGATTGGAAAGCATACGTAATTTGAGGAAGTCAAGTCATCAGACAGTTCCCTTTCATATTTCCACCCCAAATTTCAATGGCTTTTCATATTTTTTTTCATAATTTACCGCATTGGGCTATTGAGACTCGACCGAGTGGAAAAAATATGGCATCCAGTCAAATCTTATAAGCATTAATTCTCATTAAATTTAATTGCAAGCGACTTGTGGTCGAGGGCAGTCAGGTGGGGGCCCAGAATATCCTTATTTACTGTGACCCGTCAGTTGGCCCGTGTTTCTGGCACAATTATGCAAATGACTTGCGGAAGGATCCCGCCCAGGACCGAAGCCGATTAACCCCTTTTGTGTGCCGAGGCGTTGAAAGGTTCTGCACTCAATTACGAGAGTAAAAAATTATCACCTGTTACCCAAAAACGGTTGGTTATCCACCTGCCTCCTCCTTCACCTTCTCTTTTAACTGATCCGCAATGAAAGCAAAAACACTTAGCACTCAATTGTTAAGGTAAGTTCTCGGAAGAGAGCCAAAAAGTTTTCGACGCCAAACTAAACTGGGGAATAAAGAAAATTTGTTTAGCAACAATTTCAAACGGTTCCATTGGCGGGAGTCAAATTAATTTCGAGTGCCAAGTGGTGGCCCACTCATTCCCCTCAAATCAATTAATTTGCCAGTTGCCAACAAATAGGGAAAGGGGGAGTTGGGGGCAATAGTTGGAGGGCAGCCTTAATATGCGGTTGAGTATATTTACACTCTGCGGTTCAACTTTCCCTGCAATTTGTTGAGTGTTTCGCCAATAGTTCAGCCCTATTCAGGCAAGTTCTCTTTGCGGTTGCGGCATTGGTGGAAATAATTATGCAAATGCGTCAAGGGGGTGAAATCTTCTTTCGAACTGTGAAAATTTGTCTTGGTAACGGATTTTCCAGATTTTTAATAAAAAATTAAGCTGCTCAGCAAAGCAATCTGAGTGGTAAATCGAAGATTACAAGCCAACTAAATTGTTACAATATTATTTTTTACATTTTCCATCAAGGCCTAACGTAATATTGGTTTATACTTTAATCCCATATTCCGCTCACACACTCACGGCCCAGTCGAGTGTGAAGATCCCCAGCAAAAAATCCGATTTACAAACCGTAAAAATAAGCACATAAAAAAAGTAAAATTCGCCCACAGAAAAAACATCAACGAAAAATGAATAAATTCAAAGTGACGTGTAAGCAAAAACTATTCACGCATAAGCCCAGAATTCCAGTAAATAACAAAGGCAGAAATCAAGAGCCAGCACCGACGATGAATACGTAACTAGAGCGCCGTAGAGTATGCAACGAAAAAGCAGCCAAAAATAGAAACAAAATCTAAAACGTGGAACGAAATTAAATGCAAAAATCTCGGCAGTTCGGGGTGGCACAAAAAAGCTGCATGACATTTTTAATTATCTAGAACAAGTGCATTTAGCATACATCCACAGACATGGAAATAGAGACGCACACTAATGCCAACATCAGCACCAACACTCATATACGAAAAGGAAAGTGAGAACAAAAATCGTTGCATACTTTGCGGGCTGTTGGGCATTTAAATGAAATTTCGTTTGCTAACTGCAGTGCACAGTGCGAGTTTGAACAAGTGCGAAAAGAATGCGAAAATGAGGCAACAGATGATGACGATGGGGTATGAGGTGCTAGTGCTGGTGCAGTGGAAAAGTCAAAAGTGCTTTGCAAAAGTTAAATGAAATATTTGCCAGTCACGCAAGCATTTTTCGCTTTCCCTTAATTAAAGCGAGAACTGTTCCAATTTCATAAATGAATGTATACCTACAATACCGGGGCGCAGGAAAAACATTTTTTCCTTAATCAGCCGGAGCTGCCACCACTCTTAGCCCCTCTCGGCCAGCCGTGTTTGTATTTCCAAGAGCCGAAGAGAAAGCCTATAAAAATATGTTTTTCTTTTACGACCAACTTTTGTTTCCCCTTTTCAAGTGTGTGAGTCTATGTGTGTGTGTGTGTATGTATGTGTGCGTGTACACAGATTTATTAAAATATTTCTCGGCGAAGTGTGCAATGAAGCAGGGTGAAAAGTCAGTTGGACCTGAGCGAAATGGCTAATACTCTCGCTTGGGAAAAACTTTTCATAAGGTTATAAGGATTTCTCGAGCGACTATGTATCCTTGAAATATATCATTTAAAAGGATTGTTAAAAATAGTTTTGACATAGCTTTTTGCTTTTCCTAAAATAATATAAAAAGTCCTACGAAAGGCAATGTAGCCATTTGATCTGGAAGGATATTCATACGCCTCTTCATGCATATCCATCTAAATGGCAATCAGGCAAGCGTTTCAGTCGCAGTCTTTTAATTAATAACGCCAAACGGTTTTCATTTTTTCCAGGAAGATGCTTCAGATCCTGCAGATTCTGCTGATATGTGCGCTCTTTTCAGTGAACACGGCTCGTTAATTTGCACTTTGCATACGCAGTCCAAACGTAGTGAAAGAGACGGTCGTAATAAAAGCAAATAGAAAGCTTTTTGAGAGCGGTAAATATTTTAATAATATTAAACCAGCTTGCAGCCTTCCAAAGTTGTTGCCGATTCGGCTTATTTGCCCAACACTTTATCCTTAGCTTACTTTCGGCTCTCCGCTCGAGCGGCAATAGTGAAAGTAATTTGTTTATTTATTTGCTCGGATAATAGCCAAAGCTTAAAGTGAAAAACGGAAAAACGCAGAACTTTCAACGCGTATTTGTGCAGCACTTCAGTTTCCATTCCTGCTAGGAAAACTTTTCGACCATAGAAGCTCTCTAATCACGGGCAGGAAGGAAGGATGGGACAGGACGACAGAAAATGGGGCTGATAACTTTATCGGCGCCAGGATTTTGCATACATCATTGCGCTCCAGGGCTGACCTTTTGGCTCTGGAGAGCAAAGAATATGTTAATACGCCTACAAAAGGGCAACACAAAAGTGCACAAATAATGTTCTTCTTCTCTTCTCGAACTATCCACCTCCCCCTCTCTTACGTATGACACACATTTCCGCCCATTGTTTGGCCTTGGCCTGAATGCTTGCCTGAATGTTTGCTCTCTCGTGTGTCTGTGCTCTGTTTATGTTTGTTGACATGGAAAAGCCTAAAAGTTATGGTTCGGCATCATGGCCAAGGGACACGCCCATTAGGGGCGAGTACCATACCAGACATGACCATCATTTGCCTGCCTGCTAATAAGCGGCTCAAGTGTTGGCCCGGAATTAATGCGATCTCTCTCCATATCTTCATGTTCCAAAAGGTTACACTAACCGGACATCAGGATGTGTTTGTGTTTGTTGTTGGGGTTTTTGTGACCAGGGGCTTTGTTTGCCATCGTTAATATTGCCCAAGGCCATATTAGTTACTGGTCTGAAGTGTGTTAGTTAAGTCACCCATGGTTACGATTTGCTAATGAGCTGGATAAAATAAAGTTGACACTAAGCTGCATAAATAATGGTGAAAGGTGCTTGTGAGTAACCAAACTAAACTCTATCACTAAAGTAAACTTCTATATTATACAATGTTTAGAATTTTTACAATTGGCAAAAAAAAGTAATAGCAGATTTTCTGTTAAATACATTTTTAGAAAGCAGTCAAACTACTAACGAAAAATCTTCAGTTTTAAATCCATGTTTAGGGACTTATAAAAGAATGTAAATTAAAATAGATGTCTAGTTTTTTCTTTAATATCCAACTCCATTTAAAAGCTACTCTTCCATCACATTCAGATATATTCCTTCCACTTCCTTGACCAATCTCAAACCCAAATTGTGAAGCCCAGTGCTGCTCACAGTCCGTCGCCCTGAGAATGGCCAAACAGCACTTCTGCTTCCGTCGTGTCCTTAATCTCCCCCTTCAGTGTTTTGGCTTTTAACGACCTCTTACTGACGCTGCCACTTGGAGTTCTGAAGTCCTGAAGTCCGAATCCGAGTCCGAGTCCAGTCCTCCTCCGCTCGCTGTCACTTACGCATTCCACTCGAATAACAAAAGCTTTTGATTGATAAGCGGCCATAATAAATTTGTTATTAGTGCGAGAAAGAGCCAAGACCAAATGAACCATGAACAAGACAAGATTGTGATGGGTGTGAGGCGTGGGTGTCTGTGTGAGGGCCAGAAATAGATCGCCAATCGTAATGGATATTAGACAAATAGATTTCATTTTTTCGCAGAATGGAATTTAATTCGCTTATTTGTATATAAATAGAAATATTTCGATGAATGTTCTCACTTCGCTGGCCTTCAGTTCATGTTGATTTGATTTGATAGGACATGATAGGGAGAGGTCCTCTTTGAAATTCATGGAATTGAAAAGGGAAATAGTTTCACAAGAAATGCTATCCGAATTGCCACCAACGCTTCTGATTAGGCTTGTTCAATTTTTGGCTTTCGTCCAACAACACGCCCAGTTCCGCCCACTACCGCTGGCAAAACCCACGCCCCCATTTCAATTGTAATTATAACTTGGCAGCCCACGGCATGAAATTCTGTTTTACAGGAAAAAGCCGCAGCAATTTTGCGGTGACTGGTAGAAATTTCGAATGCTAATTTCAATTAAAAATTTCATCGGCGCTTTGGTGAGGGGGAGGGACATCAATTCCGAGTCCTGTTGCTTTCGCTGATTGATGCCAACGGAGTTCAAAGAGGTGCCAAATGCTGATGCTCTCTAAATATTTAAATTGGAATTGAAAGCTCCGTGGAGGCAGGAGACTCCTTAAGTCGGTGAGTTGGCCTAAACAAACAGGGCGAAAAAGCTGCAAGCGCTTGTCCTTCCCCTCCACAATTTCTCTCCTCCCCTCTCACGTCTTACAATACAGTTGACAAAAGGACTGGTACTGGCATTATATTTACCTTGTCTCTCGCGCTCCATTGATAAATATTCCCCTCGTTTATTTGTGTGCGGATGTGAGCTGGAAAAATAAATACAATAAAACAGAACATACATTGAATTGGGGGTGGTAGCGTGACACGAAGGTGTATCGAGCGATAGTTATATAGTTGAATTGAAAGTATAAATTGTTGTTATAAAACATTCCTTAAGAACTACTCTTTTCTTAAAAATATATTTGTGTTCTTCAACCAAAAATAGTTTATCTCCTTCTCCATTGCAGAATCAATAAACATTAACTATGGCATAAGAGTCAATCCCAGGCATCCTCCACGTGTCACAGGGCACAAAGGACGCATTAGCCTCCTTCCCTTCCCCACTTCTGTTTCCATTTTAGCCATTGTTATCCCCCCTCACTATATCGTTTTGTTGTTTAAGAATGGTCAGGCATTGAATTTGCTTTCTTGGCTTTCGCTTTATCGTTTGATTTGTGCCCAAGTCGCCGTGGCAATGTCATCCCCCTCCATCCATTCAGTACGTTCCTATATGAACGAATGGCCGTTTGATGATTGTTTTATTGAAATTGATTTCCTAATTGAGCCAATTTGTGCAGTCAAGGGATAATCAAAATGATTTTTACTGCACAAAATTAGATGGCACTTCAATGGAATCGTCATCCATCTTTACTATGTCTTTTAATGACTATTTCAAATAAAAATGCTTTTAACTTTTCCGAAGTGATTACTACAGTCCAGAAGTCGGGCAGAGACCACTAGACTTTTGTGTTAAATGCATTAATTTATTATCTCCCATTAAGCGCATCATCAACATAATCGACCTCAACATCGTCATCGTCATCATCATCAGCGGCAGTAGCAGCAGTGGCAGCAGCTGAATAAAGCTAAGTCCACAAAAAGCCGCATAAATAATGAAACATTCTTTTATGTCGACGCCAACCAACGAAATGAAGGTCGGGGAGAAAAAAGTTGGAATAAAAATAAAAATGAATGGCCAACGTACATGACCAGAGGCGCTGCGTTTAAAATAATTGTTAACCGAGGGTTGGGGGAGTGGTGGCCACAAAAAGTGTATATTTATATATAAATTAATACATAAAGACCATGAGCGAATTATAATCAAAGGCAGCTTAAAATATACCCTTAAAAAAGTTTACCTTTTGAGCAGATAAATTTCTATTTAAAAGAAAATTAATTGAAAACAGAACTCACTTTTGTAAATTAGAATAAGCGATCTCATAAAAGAGTACAATGCATTGGCTTAATGGATTAAACATGTGTAAAAAATCTAATTAACTTAATTTGCGGTTGGAATAAAGAAGGAATCACTTGTAATTGCTCATTAAAATTGACATTTTTGTGTCACGTTAATCTAGAGTGTATTCCCATTCATTTACCTTTTGTGCTCGTCAGGGTCTAGAATTATTTAAAGAAGTCGCCTTGGTAGCTGGCTGCTTTCTTTTCACCCCCTCCAGCATAATGGGATCCGTTTGATTTATGTGGCTTCTTATTATATTTCCGTTTCCGTAGCGTTAATTTGCTGCAATGACGTATGCAAGTTGGAAAGTTCGACATGGGGAAAGCCACCGGGTGAAAGAGAAAGAAAGTAGCGCGGGAATGAATAAGAGTTTTAATTTTATAACTTTTACTCGCTTGCGCACTTTTTGCACTTTTTTTTTCAACAGGGTCCAAAACTTGTGTCCTTTTTTTTCGTATACTCGTATACTGCAGCCAATGGCGCCCATTCATTTGTTTTTTTCTTCACTTTTTTTACTTTTATTTTCCGAGGATAGTTTTAACTGGTCGCGTATTTCTTTTTTGTTTTTTAATAATATACTCGTATTTTGTGAAAAGTTTGGCGTGTAATGAAAAGCTTTTCTCTGGACTATTTCATTTTGGCATTTCTGTTGGGGATTTTATTGAAAGTTCAGCGCGATGGATAGATAAATGGTCTAGCAGTTAGCTGAAAACGGGAGTGGTTATTTCTTTGTTTGCTTTTTGGCCGATTATACATATTGGCTTAGATGGCAGCAGGGAGAGTTTATTTATTAGAAAATATTTGAGTTTATGGTGGTACAACATTTATCCATCCACCCATCGCAGTTTCTTCTCTAACAATATGTCAAAATATTATATGTAGACATTTTAAACTGCTTAACTAACTTAAATATTAGCAAAAAATAAACTTCTTAGTGCGCTACATTGTTGAATGTTTTACTGCCTTTTGACTTGTAAATCTATCTTAATTTGCATTATGCTTATGCATATCTGGATCGAAAAGCTCTTGGCCTTTGTCTTGTTTCGAGTGTTCCTTTTAGGCTGTCCAAAACGCCTTCAGCACCACCACCCCCTCTCCCTTCTAAAAAAGGACACAAAAAACAACGAAGCCGAGCAGTTCATTAGCATAGAATTCAGAACGGGGTCAGTTTGGTAGACTGTCGACCGCACGCCATCCTTCTTCTCCTCCTTTTTTCGTTATATATGCACAAGTCCCAACGCTTTAAGTCTCAAGTCTACTTACATTTCACTTTGCGTTGCATTTTGTTGGCCCTTTCTTCTCGGTTTTCCTTCTTTTTTTTGCTGCGACCAGGCCAGCTTAGCTTGTGGGTCACTTGGCGTCTTTTATTCCTCTGGTGTTGCACACACTCAGAAACGCCCACATAATTATCGTACATAGAGGAGGTTCCATTGTCCTTTTATCATTATAGGCAGCACACACACACACACACACGCATACATACTTGAGTCCTTGCATATCTCTCTAGCTCTGGTGATAAATGCGTAATGCGATAAAAGAGCCCAAAAGTTGTCTAGTCCTTTGACGTAGGAATTTTTCCCAAAAGACAAAAAGCGGTTCTGAAGTGAGACATCATCATCCGTTTTGCCCAGAAACTGAAGCACACAAGCCTGTTTCAGCTAGCTGATTAATTGAAGTGAAAAATGTGCCTTGGCCTTGTTGAGTCTTGATTGATGGCACTTGCTTTTAATTAGAATTTATTGCGGCATACTTTCATCCACTTCAAATTAAATTTGCAATTTTTTGTGCCAAAGAGAAGAAAAAAATATTGTCAGTTAGGGGAAAAGCTCCGCCTTGGGGCAAAGATATCGAGCGTAACAAGAGTTTCCTTTTCTGCCTTTTGTGTCCCCCTTTTTTGTTTGCCATTTGCAATTTAGTTAAATGTTTTTCCGGCTTTGCCTTCCGGGCGTGTACGCCTTACTCGATTTTCATTTCGTTGGGCATTATTCTAAAAGCTTTTCCAGCCGAGGCCGGTCAGATGGGGATTTTCTTTTTGCATACGGCCGGCAAAGTCATTCGTTCATTCACTTATTCATTCAGTCAATGACTCGTTCAATTGCAATGACAATGAGCTTTCCTCTGGACGCTTGCATTGTTGCCGCTTTTCTGGCAAATGTTACGCTGCCAAGCGCCTGTCGGCAGGCCATGCTTTTCCATCCATCGCCCCCCGTTATGCCACCCATTTTTTACCTGCCACATATCTCAGAGGCATCGACAACGCCATCGCCATCGGCCTCAGCTCATTCATGCCCATTATACACACATTCCGAACGGAGGAGTAAAGGCGGTCTGACAGCTCTGCACTTTTCCTTTATTTTCCCTCGGTGCTTTCCTTTTTTTCCCATTCACTCGGCTGACAATCACATTAAAATTCAGCCACACGGGGGAAAAAATATTAAATATATTTTGATCGCTTACAGATTGAAGAGAAACTTAAGGTTTCCTGATAGCCATGCTTATGGAATGTACAACTTAAAATGCAAACCTCGAGAGATCTTTATCGAGAGTATATTAGTATAAGAATTAGTTAAGGTTTCATATTTGTATCCTTTAATGTTAATTCAAAGATATTCTTGCCGTGTAGAGTGGACTCGACAGAGAACTCAACTAACCATGATTGCAATGACTGTGGGCAGGATCCGCCGCAGTCAAACTGTGGCACTAACCGTAATTGTTGACTACGACTGCGAAGTCTCCTGCTGTCTTCCTTTGTGCCCGCTGTCATTTGTACAATTGACAATTGTGATTGCATATGCTATAATGCAGTGGCTGAAGGTGCGGTGGGATGTGGAAATGTGGATCTGAATCTGGATAGATTGACATTGAGCTAGTGCGTAGTTGGTGCATTTCTGCTGATTACGGATTGCATCAAACGATGAACTGCGGATGAATGGGAATGTCAATCTAATGAACATGCCACTGATTTCATGTTATTGCACATTGGGCTAACTTCTTATTTATGGAATTTATTTCATATTTAGCTCAACTTCTTTTGTGGGATGACAAAAATGTCAATCTTTCTAAAACTTAGATAAACATTATTTAGTGTCCGTTAATAAAGCCTAAAGCTATCGAAAATAATAAATGTGTTTGAATAGCCAAATCTCAAGTGAAGAAACGGGAATGTATTGGCTATGTGCAGAAAGGGTTTTCAGTTCTTTTCATCACTTAATGTTAATAATACGCGATTAGTGCCTTTTTATTGATTTTTGCTTTGCCTTTGATTTCCCAGTCATTGCAAAGCTATTATTCTTACTATAGCCGTAAGGTTTTTAACTTTTAAGTTCGATATTATATACTATCTTCTGACATTAAGTGCTAATTAACTAATTTAGCTGCAGTAAATCCAAATCATAGATAATACAAATGGAAAACAGTAAATTGTCTAAGCTGCCCTTGACTTTTCACGACTTTAGTGGGACTTCCACATTGCTTAAATTTGGTTTTTCATATCCTCACCAACCCCTGGAGTTGCACTATTGCATGTTTTCCAGTTGCCGTTCCTTGCTGATATTCCATTGCCCAGCTGCATCGCTTTTCCTTGTTTTGAATGCGTTTGGCGTTCAGAGCTCTGGATTTTCCATGGCGTGCCACGCCCATAAAACGGATTTTCCAAAATGGCTGCAATGGCCAAAAGTAAGTCCCAAGCGCAGCAGGACGAGATGGCTAAAAGTGCCAGTCCCTTTGAAAGGAGACGAGACACATGGAGGCCATAAACCAACTGCATTGTTTGCATACTTTTCGGCTGAGCTGAACTTCGGTTGGAAGTGCAATTGGGTCCTCTTCGGACGGAGCTCAATTTTAAGCTATCGAAAATTGTCGTTGTCCTAGAGCCTGTGTGCCCCATAAAGAGTCCCAGTGCGGAGCCACGTTTTCCAATCAGCCCGTTCACACTTGCGGGCGCAATTATGCGCAAAAGTTTGGCTCGAATCGAAAGCGCTAACTAAGCGCATTCAACTGGGCCAAAATGGTCAATTGATTTCCGTTGTTTGGCTTTGATCTCGGCCATGTCATTGTTGCAATTGAAGCGGACCGAAATTGGATTTCATTTGAGCCGTATCTTGTTGGCAAAGCTGAACTCGGAAATTATGAAAGTTCTTTAAAGAATCGTGACCAGAAGGAAAAAACTTAAATTTTATTTGGTCTACACTTAGAAATTGAAAGTTATGGAATATTATATAGAAAATAATATAAATGTATTTAAAATTGTATGTTTAAGTATTCTCTAATAGATAAGTTCGTTTTTGGGTCCAAAAGTCATGATTGGAGACATTCCTAAGAAACTCTTTAAAGGAAACTCTCAGATTTTTCTGCACTTTTTCTTGTAATGCAAGCTCTTAACTAAGGACACAGTCCAGAAGCTGGTTTAGTTTATTTGTTCTATCCACAGTTGCCTTCGTTACCCTCGCCCCTCACCCTCGCCTACCAACCAGAAAGCCACCAGCAATTGAGCACAGAATTCTTGACACATTTTTGTTATGGTCATGTAAAAGTCAACGGCTATGGCCAAATAAAGGACGACACGCTATCCCCTATACCCCATCCCGCTGCCCGATCATAAGCTGGTGTCCGTAACAAGTGGGCCACGCTGTGCCACAAATGCGATTACGTATACGCAACGTGTGAGGCTGTCGCCGGCCATTTGCTGGATGAGAGCGATAGGGACATAGCGAAGGGCAAAACTAAACGCCAGCGAAAGCTGAGGAGAATACGGAATGATGTGTGCGTAGGAATAAAGTATACGGCTCGTTGCCAACATGGGTTTATTTGTGGGACACGCAGCGGATGTGAGCTGCCCTGTCTGCTTGAAGTTCGAAGATTCAAGGATTCGTGCCCTGCCACGGGCAAGACTGCGGCGGACGACACGTGTTCGCCTTAAATATTTATTTGTGCGGCAGCAGGTTCGCCTCAACAACTGCGGCATAGTTGGCCAAAAAAGATTCGCCAAACTTTTACCGCACTCAAAAATTTGTCAGCGGCTCAATCTTCTCACTAAGCAAATCGCATTAGCGTCATCTGCCAACAATTGAAGTCTTAAATTCTCTTCTTACCGGGAAACTAAATAGGGAAACTTAAATGGAAAAAGAGAGAGAAAACTGTAGCCGCAAACTGGATTAAAGACGGGTATTAAATCAATAGTGTGGTGAAGACAACAGAACAGAAGGGAAAGTCAGGAGATTGTAACAATTGCCGGCACTTAACTTAAAAGCAATCTATGGAATACGCAAACCCTGTTGCCCTGCTTTTCACTGTCAGTCTCGTTCACTTATAATAAAAACCGACTCAA